TGAAGGAGTCATCTGCGGTATGGACATATATATATATTCTTGCTCAGCGTAAAATTCTGCGTTGATTTAGACATGTCCGTCCGTCCGTCCGATCGCACGATAACTCAAAAACGAATAATGCAATCGACACCAAACTTTCACAAGTTGCTTCTTTTGTGCCAAGGACGAACCCTATTGTTATGGGACCAATTCGGACAACGGGGTCGGGTAGCTGCCATACAACTCCAAGAGTTTATTTTAATTATTTCAAAAACTAATGAAGGTACAAATATAAAATTTTGTATACATGTGTCCAATTATATTCTACATATGTTCTAAAAATTTTAATGAGAAAGCTGCACCGGTTCGGGTAGCTGCCATACAACTCCAAAAGCAAATTTTCTATATTCGGCAAAATAATAAAGTTAGATTCATGAAACTTGGCAGTCGTGTGTCCAATTATAGGTCAAAGATATTTCTGAAGTTTTGGTGGAATTGCTTGACAGGTTCGAGTAGCTCCCATACAAGTTCAAAAGCTTACTTTAAATATCTGAATAAATAAAAACGTTAGATTCATGAAATTTGGCAGTTGTGTGTCCAATTATAGATCAGATATACCTGCGAAGTTTTAGTGGAATTGCTTGGCAGGTTCGGGTACCTGCCATACAACTCCAAAAGCTAATTTTAAATATTTGGAAAAATAATAAAGTCAAATTCATGAAACTTGGCAGTTGTGTGTCCAATTATAGATCAGATATATTTGCGAAGTTTTAGTGGAATTGCTTGGCAGGTTCTGGTACCTGCCATACAACTCCAAAAGCTAATTTTAAATATTTTGAAAAATAATAAAGACAGATTCATGAAACTTGGCAGTTGTATGTCCAATTATAGGTAAAAGATATTTCTGAAGTTTTGGTGGAATTGCTTGACAGATTCGAGTGGCTCCCATACAAGTTCAAAAGCTTACTTTAAATATCTGAATAAATAAAAACGTTAGATTCATGAAATTTGGCAGTTGTTTGTCAAATTATAGATTAGATATACCTGCGAAGTTTTAGTGGAATTGCTTGGCAGGTTCTGGTACCTGCCATACAACTCCAAAAGCTAATTTTAAATATTTTGAAAAATAATAAAGACAGATTCATGAAACTTGGCAGTTGTATGTCCAATTATAGGTAAAAGATATTTCTGAAGTTTTGGTGGAATTGCTTGACAGATTCGAGTGGCTCCCATACAAGTTCAAAAGCTTACTTTAAATATCTGAATAAATAAAAACGTTATATTCATGAAATTTGGCAGTTGTGTGTCAAATTATAGATCAGATATACCTGCGAAGTTTTAGTGGAATTGCTTGGCAGGTTCTGGTACCTGCCATACAACTCCAAAAGCTAATTTTAAATATTTTGAAAAATAATAAAGACAGATTCATGAAACTTGGCAGTTGTATGTCCAATTATAGGTAAAAGATATTTCTGAAGTTTTGGTGGAATTGCTTGACAGGTTCGAGTGGCTCCCATACAAGTCCAAAAGCTTTTTTTAAATATTTGGAAAAGTAATAAAGTTAGATTCATGAAACTTGGCAATTGTGTGTCCAATTATAGTTCAGATATATTAGCGAAGTTTTAGTGTAATTGCTTGGCAGGTCCGAGTACCTGCCATACTCCAAAAGCCAATTTTAAATATTTGGAAAAATAATAAAGTCAGATTCACGAAACTTGGTAGTTGTGTGTTCAGTTATAGATCAGACATATCCGTAAAGTTTCTATAGAATGTTTCACAGGTTTGAGTAATTGCTATACAACAATGAAAGGTGCAGGGTATAATTCAATCGGTTCATACCGACTGAAACGTTTTTACTTGTTATTATCTTCTTATGGTTTTGACTCTTTGATTTCAGCTTCCACTCGCCCAATTTCAGGTTCTTGTATTGATCATCTTTTTGTTAGGAAACACAGAAATAATAAACACGATTTTGTTGCAGATATTTTAGATATAGGAATTACGGATCATTGTATGTTGAGTTTAACTATACTGAATTGCACTTTTAATGGTAAGGTTTTTCAATCTGTTTATAATAGTAGACCTGTAATTAATTATAATCACTTGAGAAACCGGTTATTATTTGAATTTTGGTATGATGTTTTTGCTGTTGATCATCCTTCTTTGGCTTATTTACGTTTTTATGAGACTTTAAAATTTCATATAACTAATTCTAGTAATATTATTCATAGAAGAGCACCTAGGAGACTCAAACCTTGGATGACGAATAAGCTATTGACTTTATTAAAGAAACGAAATAGCTTAAGGCTAAAAGTTAAAAAAAATCCTACTAGACAATTTTTATTGGTTAGGTATAAAAAATTTTGTAAATTCATAAAGGAAAAAATCAAAAGTTGTAAGGATAATTATTATTTAACTAAATTTGTGACTTCTAAAGGTAATTCAAAAAAGGAGTGGAAAATTATAAATTCTATTCTTAACAAAGACTGTGCTAAATCGGATATTTGTTTTACTATTAATAATGAGTTGGTTGATGACCCTAAAATTTTGGCTAATTATTTTAATAACTTTTTCGTTGATATAAGTATAAATTTATCGTCTAATTCAAGTGTCCATAGTTTCGATTTCAGTGTTTTAGATTTGATATCTGACGTTTTTCAAAGAAAAAGTTTTGGTTTTGAGCCTTTTACGTCTATGGAAATAAATAAAAAAAAAAAATTCAGACTCTGTTTCTACTGGTTCTTTTTCAAATGTTTTATTAAAACAAATTTCTTTTTTTATTTCTGATGTTTTGTGCTATATTTTTAATTTAAGCGTATATAAAGGAATTTTTCCAAATGATTTAAAAATCGCTGAGGTTTTTCCTCTTTTTAAGAAGGGTGATTCACAGGATCCAAATAACTATAGGCCTATTTCGCTTTTACCAACTATTTCTAAAATTTTTGAAAAAGGCATGAAATCGAGGATTGTTAAATTTTTAGATAAAATTAAGTTTTTTAGCAATTCCCAATTTGGGTTTCGCCATACATTAAGTACAGAGGATGCGTTACTTAAATTTTGCAGCGAAATTTATGAAGGCATAAATAATAGTTATTCCTGTGCAGCCCTGTTTATTAACATCACCAAAGCATTTGACACTGTTTCACATGATCTGTTGCTGGAAAAAATTTATAATGCTGGTTTTAGGGGCTTTGTTTATGTATGGTTTCGTTCATATCTTAGTAATAGGAAACAGAGGGTTAAAATTGGAAATGTCTTGAGCGATATTACTGAAATAAAATGTGGAGTACCACAGGGTTCCGTTTTGGGGCCAATTTTGTTTCTTATATTTATAAACTCATTGCTTGATCAAAATTTTAAGGGGAAAGCTACTGCTTTTGCAGATGACTCTGCTTTCACTTATTGTGAAAAAAATTTGATGGAGGTTACTGCGGCTCTGAATTTTGATCTAAATTTAATAAGAAGTTGGTTTTTTTCTCATAAACTTGTAATGAGCAACAAAACTAAATATATTATATTTAATTTAACACAAGATTTTATTACTGATTGTAATTTGTATTTTCATTCATCTGGCTGTTGTAAATTTCCTATTCTTTCAAATTCTTATTATAATGATAATATTTGTGTTAAATCATGTTTTAAAGTTGAAAGCGTTGTTTCATATAAATATTTGGGCATTTATATTGACAAAAGAATGAATTGGTCGGAACATTCACGTTATTTGAATAATTATTTTAGGCACGTTATAAGAAATCTTTTTCAATGAATTGGTATTGTTCCATAAATGTTTCAAAAATGGCCCATTTTGCACTTTTTAATTCGAAGCTTCAATATGGTATTGTATTGTTATTTCTTTTTTGTTAAATATAACTTGAATTCTGCTTAGCTTTAATTGTGATCCCCACCACAAACGAATTTTTGTAATAATTTAAATTTTTTTCTGATATAATGGCCCTTCGTTACTTGCCCTTATAGTGGCAATAGTTGGGACCATTCTTATTTTTTTATTTTTAAGTAATTCTATATCCATATTAAATTGTAACTATTTTTAGTTTTGAATTTTGTAACTTTAAAATAAGGAAAATAAATAGATAATAAAATAATAAAAAATAAATTATTTTTCATTAATTATATTTTCAACTTGACACCACAGTTACTTCCCATATCTTGAGTGAACTTACCCCATGAGAAAAAAAAGCTGTACACTTAAAAATAATGAAATGCTTTCATATAAAACGTTGAAGGCGAAGGTTGTGCTCGTTGTTTTTCGCTGTTTCAAGAATTTTAAAATAATTATGAATGAAAATATTAATATATAAATAAAAAATATGCCACTTCGATTTAAAAAAACACATATAAAATAAGGTCGTGCTTTCAAGTTTCTCTCTGAGCATTGGGACTTGTTAGATATAAAGACATTAGTACAGTATTAATACAGTTGTAGTATCGCCTCAAAGCTTTTAATACCTTTACGTTGTAAAAAAAAACTGCTAAACTTTTCGTACATTTTATAATACAATTTTTACAATATTATTACACACTTTGACGTTTGTTTGGAAAGTTCAAACGTTAAAGTTCTGTGCATATGTTAATTTTTAACAAACGTTAAAAACTTCGTACTTCGACAACTAGAATAAGGCTCAATGATAATAATCCAAAGAATAGATCAGCGCAAAGAAAACTGAGTTACTCTTGTTAGGATTTGGTGAAAATTCGCATATGGGTCCTCAAAAAGCCTTGCGTTTACAGGCCCAATTTATAATACCAACAGAAAAATTTAAATAGTTGGGAATATTTGGAAATTTTCAAACAAACGTTAAAGTATGTTTTAATATTGTAAAAATTGTATTCCACAATGCAGCAAAGCTTTAGCAGTTTTTTTTTACAATGTAAAGGTTTTGAAAACTCTGAGACGGTACTACAATCGTATTAATACTTAAACTTTTTATAAAGCATTATTGAAGTAAAAAAAAATCGAGTCAATATTAATTTTAATCTCACAAAATTATAAGAAATTAATGTAAACTCCTTGAAGAAAACAATTTATTAAACTAATTAAGTTATAAAATTGGTCAGCTAAAACGTTTTGTATTAAGTAACTCTTATTCTTAGTATTTCATATAAATATAACAAAGAAAATTTTTTAAAAACTGAATTAATTGATTTGATCATTTCATCAACCATGTTTATAATAAAATCATTTTACATTTGCATTTTTTTATGCAAATCCAACAGATTCCGGTTAACTTTTATAAATTTTAAACCCTGCATTATTTAGTTTATTAATTTTTAAATTTTGGTGCATCCAATATGGTGGTGGATCGGCTGTTGTGAAAATCAATGACGGTTCGCCACACTTTTCATTTGATATTCGTAAAATTTTTTCAGAAGGCGTGCTATCAAACATCACTTCATTAAAGTTACAATTTGAAGTTTGAAAGTTTTTCCATGTAGATTCTTTTTGGCAAATTTCTTCGCATGCTTCCTTCATTTTGCATAATTGCTCTTGTAAATTGCGATATTCTTCCAAAAAACGTTCAATTTGTGTTGTATGAAAATCATTCAAAGAAGTTTCAGACGCATGACAAATAATATTTTTATTTCGTGGCGCATATGAAGAAAAGTCAAGTAATGGCGTTTCTCGTTCTGGGGTACGAGTTTTTTTACTTGTTCCTTCTTTAGACTGCATGTAAATAAGATTCAAATCATTAAAGCTTGAAAGAGATAGCGCTGTTGTACTCTTAAATATTTCACTATTTGCCTTCAATAAACTTAAACTACTATTTGAGCGTTTGCCACGGATATTTCCCGTTTTTCGTAAACACGTCGATTCAGCTGAAAAGCGCCTTAATTTTTCTAATGAAGTGGTTAGATCAAACTGACTATGATTATCTTGCAAAAGATATGATTGGCTACTAAAAGAGTAAAGGCAACTTTTCGAAAAACTTTTAGAATTTCTTGGTAATGTAAAAATTGCATTAGAGTTTCTATCAGCACAAATTCGTTCTAAATTGGAAAAATATTCTTCTGAAGTTTGACACGTGCTTGAAGGTGGGTTAATTTTTATTTGCTTCGCATCATGTTTAAAAGAATCTGGAGTCGCCCTAAAATTAAAATAAACAAATATTTAATTATCAAATGTGTAAGTATAACAAAGTGAGAGTAATAATCTCATATTTATTAAAAAAAAATGGAAAGTTTTTGATCTAAACACAAAATTAGTGTGATATATCGACAACAGAGTACTAGAAACATTATTCTTATTTGAAATTTTTTTTCAAATTAAATTTAGTTCAAAAAATTTGAAATTTTATTTCAAATTTAAAAAACAATTGAATTTCAAACAACAAACGAATTTTAAACGCACACATTAGAACTGTATATGCATATTATTGTCTTATGTTAGTGAAAAACACAAAAACATGAAGGTTTATACATATGTATATTTACATAAAAGGAACTTTTCAAATGGGATATTTTTATAAACTTTACACATTACAAGTTCTCTATTAGGATTTTTCATCCCAATTTCTTCAAATTTGTTGTTGCTTGTGGTTTTCGTCAAGGTACTATTATTATCAATTATTATTTTTGCTTTACTGAATGATGCAAATGTTGGATAAAGCAACTTTAATTTATCTTTTGTTGATGATACAAAATCATTTACTTATTGAGAAAAATAATCTTAAACTTTCTTTGCAAAAATACATATGTATATTAAAAATTTTCTATTTGGTGCGGTAATGCATTATTTGAATAAATGTTTTAATAATAATAGTCTATAAATTCCATTATTTCAAACAATAAAATAATAAAATACATATGTACATATATACATATGTACGTATGTACATATTTCTAATGTCAATCAGGGCGTGAAGCTGAAGCTATATTCCGAAGTATTCCAAAGTAAAATAATTTGTAATAGTAGTGATAGTAGTGATATATTTTGTTTCTAAAATTTTGCTATTGTACTTATCTTATAAAATAACACAAAATAAAACGAGAAAAAAAATAGAGTTGACCTTGTCAACTCTGTGATACCCGTACGAATTTGTTATCCTATGTGCGAATAAAGATGCCATAACTGACTATGGGACAGACTATGACTTTTAGTTGCCGTATTACTATATTAATTTATGCAAAATTTCAGTACTGCGGGTTTTTCAAAATACTGGTAGTGCCAAGCTACTATTTAAGTTGTACGGCAGTTACCAGAACGAGCAAAGAAATTTTAACGAATTTTATCATACACATTGCCCCTACTAATATATTCGTTTGTATGAAATTTCAATACCATAACTTTTATAGTTTCTGAAGTATAGCCAAATAACTTTTGAAGTTGTATGGCAGTTACCAGAAGGATCCAAGTAATTTCATCGACTTTTATGGGACATATTGGCCCTACTAATATATTCGTTTGTGTGAAATTTCAATACCATAGCTTATATAGTTTCTGAGATATAGCCAAATAACTTTTGGAGTTGTATGGCAGGTACCAGAAGGAGCCAAGTAATTTCAACGACTTTTATGGGACATATTGGCCCTACTAATATATTCCTTTGTGTGAAATTTCAATACCATAGCTTATATAGTTTCTGAGATATAGCCAAATAACTTTTGGAGTTGTATGGCAGGTACCAGAAGGAGCCAAGTAATTTCAACGACATTAGTGAGACACATTGGCCCTACTAACGTATTCGTTTGTGTGAAATTTCAATACCATAACTTTTATAGTTTCTCAGATATAGCCAAATAAATTTTGAAGTTGTATGGCAGCTACCCGAACCGGTACCCCGATCATGTCCAATTTAAATAGGGTTCTGGCACTTACTACAATAAATCATTTGTGAAAATTTGGTGAACTTAGCTCAATTAGTTTTTGAGTTATCGTTGGGACGGACGGACGGACGGACGGACAGACAAAGCTAAATCAACTCAGAATTCGACGCTGATCAAAAACATACACTTGAGTCTATATCTAATACCGTTATTTCTTAGCGTTACAAACGGTAAGGCAAATTTAGTATACCCGATTTACGTTTATTTTACGTATCCACTACGTATAGAACGCATTTTGGAAAAGTGTACAATGTCAAAAGCTTTTACTAAACTTTTTGGAGTGTGGTACTTTGTAAAGTTTACGTCGTAAGCGCATTATTAGTCACGGGGTGTTAATTTGCATATCTTTGCATTTTACAATCGATATATGCATTGTAGTAGCATTAATTATTTCTTAAATTTTAGTACAATAACATGCCACATCACATGTAAGTATCCGTAACTTCAATAATGCTTTAAAAAAGATTTGAGTACGGTATTAATGTCTTTATATCTAACAAGTCCTAAAACTCAATGTTTTTACGAAATATTACGAATTTTTGGCTTCGTTGCTGGTTTTTTCTTTAAATGCCACCGATCGTGTCATATTTTTTGTTATTTTTTTCTTTTTTTTTAAGTAAAAAAGAGTTTAATATTTTAAAAAATCTCAGGATATTATACACATTTTTTAAAAAGCTTCCCATTTAAAGACTATTGCACGAAAAAGAAAGAAAGGTAGGAGGAAAGAAAAAATGAAAAAAAATTTCAAATTCATATTTCAGTATGGTTTCAAATGTTAATGAGGAAGGATGTATGATTTTTTATGCACATTTTGTATTTCCCAATAAGGTAAGTTGAGTAGTATCAGCTAAAAAAAGGTTATTAAAAGTAATATAGGTTGACACATTTCAACAATTTGAATTATCTCATTTCGGTTATTTATACGTTACTTATAAAATTGTTTCAAATAATTTCAGTTAGTTTTTAAGTGATTAAAAATAAATATGTTTGTACCTCCAATAGGAAGTCTCTGCTCTTTTTTCATATTTTATTAGCAGGTAAACAAGAGCAATATATTTATAAAATGTCCCTGCATGTGTATGTATGACCTATAAAATTTTGAAGTTTATATAAAATTTCTATTTAACAAATAATATTTGATTGTATTTTAGATATTATTTTCTAATTCCCTCTTCAAATTTTTTCTTTACTATGTATTTATATCAATAGTTAAGAATTATCTTTCATTAATTATATTTTCAACTTTACACCAAAGTTACTTCCCATATCTTGAGTTAACTTACCCTATGAGAAAAAAAAGCTGTTCACTTAAAAATGATGAAATGCTTTCAGTAACATATAAAACGTTGAAGGCGAAGGATGTGCTTGTTGTTTTTCCGCTTTTTTTATAATTTTAAAATAATTATCAATGAAAAAATTAATATATTTTTTTGATTGTTCAAATATATTTTCTAAATTTTACCTGCTTTATAATAAGTGTGAATTTATTTTGATATTTCTTCTCAAAAAATAGCCTTTTAGATTTAAAAAAGCCCATATAAAATTAGGTCGTGCTTTCAAGTTTTTCTCTGACCATTGGGACTTGTTAGATATAAAGACATTAACGGTATTAATACGGTTGTAGTACCGTCTCGGAGCTTTCAATATCTTTACATTGTAAAAAAAACTACTAAAGCTTTTCGTACATTTTGGAATACAATTTTTACCATATCAATACAACTTTGAAAATTTCAATTTAAAATTCTGTTCAAATGTTCATTTTTATAAAACGCTACCACATCATTAAAAACATAGCATTTTTATGCTGCATTTTAGGAAAAAAAAAATTTATAACTAGAACTTTATTGCTGAAAATACATGCAAGTTTATTTTATCGGTTATTTCTGGCAACATTTATATGACAAAGTATAAGAAAAGCGTGCTCGATTTTTTCGATATCCGATTTACTTTTATTTTACGTCTCCACTACGTATAAAACGCATTTAGGAAAAGTTTATAATGACAAGAGCTTTTACTAAACTTTTTGATACATTATTGATTTGATTTGATTTGATTTGAAGCGCATTATTGAAGTTACGGTTTATATGCGGATTACATCGTGTTAATAAGTGAAGATATTCAGGATTTCCAATTAAAACTAAACGCATGGAACACTAAATTAGAAGACTAAAGAGAAGAACACTAAATTGTTTTGTTTAAACTTACATTTTTGGTGTATCCATCTCGCTTGCCACTTGTTAAATACTTTTCGACAAAAAACGTCGTTTCACTACGACATGTGTCGCTCTACAACGACGACTGGAATATACCTGAAACACATTTTCCCGCTATTCCACGACACGTGTCACTTTAATCGCCATTTAGAATATCAAATTCAAGTCGTGACGACAATTGTCGCTCTACTTCGGCAACTAGAATAAGGCTCAATGATAATACTCCAAAGAATAGATCAGCGCAAAGAAAACTGAGTTACTCTTGTTAGGATTTGGTGAAAATTCGCATATGGGTCCTCAAAAAGCCTTGCGTTTACAGGCCCAATTTATAATACCAACAGAAAAATTTAAATAGTTGGGAATATTTGGAAATTTTCAAACAAACGTTAAAGTATGTTTTAATATTGTAAAAATTGTATTCCACAATGCAGCAAAGCTTTAGCAGTTTTTTTTTACAATGTAAAGGTTTTGAAAACTCTGAGACGGTACTACAATCGTATTAATACTTAAACTTTTTATAAAGCATTATTGAAGTAAAAAAAAATCGAGTCAATATTAATTTTAATCTCACAAAATTATAAGAAATTAATGTAAACTCCTTGAAGAAAACAATTTATTAAACTAATTAAGTTATAAAATTGGTCAGCTAAAACGTTTTGTATTAAGTAACTCTTATTCTTAGTATTTCATATAAATATAACAAAGAAAATTTTTTAAAAACTGAATTAATTGATTTGATCATTTCATCAACCATGTTTATAATAAAATCATTTTACATTTGCATTTTTTTATGCAAATCCAACAGATTCCGGTTAACTTTTATAAATTTTAAACCCTGCATTATTTAGTTTATTAATTTTTAAATTTTGGTGCATCCAATATGGTGGTGGATCGGCTGTTGTGAAAATCAATGACGGTTCGCCACACTTTTCATTTGATATTCGTAAAATTTTTTCAGAAGGCGTGCTATCAAACATCACTTCATTAAAGTTACAATTTGAAGTTTGAAAGTTTTTCCATGTAGATTCTTTTTGGCAAATTTCTTCGCATGCTTCCTTCATTTTGCATAATTGCTCTTGTAAATTGCGATATTCTTCCAAAAAACGTTCAATTTGTGTTGTATGAAAATCATTCAAAGAAGTTTCAGACGCATGACAAATAATATTTTTATTTCGTGGCGCATATGAAGAAAAGTCAAGTAATGGCGTTTCTCGTTCTGGGGTACGAGTTTTTTTACTTGTTCCTTCTTTAGACTGCATGTAAATAAGATTCAAATCATTAAAGCTTGAAAGAGATAGCGCTGTTGTACTCTTAAATATTTCACTATTTGCCTTCAATAAACTTAAACTACTATTTGAGCGTTTGCCACGGATATTTCCCGTTTTTCGTAAACACGTCGATTCAGCTGAAAAGCGCCTTAATTTTTCTAATGAAGTGGTTAGATCAAACTGACTATGATTATCTTGCAAAAGATATGATTGGCTACTAAAAGAGTAAAGGCAACTTTTCGAAAAACTTTTAGAATTTCTTGGTAATGTAAAAATTGCATTAGAGTTGCTATCAGCACAAATTCGTTCTAAATTGGAAAAATATTCTTCTGAAGTTTGACACGTGCTTGAAGGTGGGTTAATTTTTATTTGCTTCGCATCATGTTTAAAAGAATCTGGAGTCGCCCTAAAATTAAAATAAACAAATATTTAATTATCAAATGTGTAAGTATAACAAAGTGAGAGTAATAATCTCATATTTATTAAAAAAAAATGGAAAGTTTTTGATCTAAACACAAAATTAGTGTGATATATCGACAACAGAATACTAGAAACATTATTCTTATTTGAAATTTTTTTTCAAATTAAATTTAGTTCAAAAAATTTGAAATTTTATTTCAAATTTAAAAAACAATTGAATTTCAAACAACAAACGAATTTTAAACGCACACATTAGAACTGTATATGCATATTATTGTCTTATGTTAGTGAAAAACACAAAAACATGAAGGTTTATACATATGTATATTTACATAAAAGGAACTTTTCAAATGGGATATTTTTATAAACTTTACACATTACAAGTTCTCTATTAGGATTTTTCATCCCAATTTCTTCAAATTTGTTGTTGCTTGTGGTTTTCGTCAAGGTACTATTATTATCCATTATTATTTTTGCTTTACTGAATGATGCAAATGTTGGATAAAGCAACTTTAATTTATCTTTTGTTGATGATACAAAATCATTTACTTATTGAGAAAAATAATCTTAAACTTTCTTTGCAAAAATACATAATGTATATTAAAAATTTTCTATTTGGTGCGGTAATGCATTATTTGAATAAATGTTTTAATAATAATAGTCTATAAATTCCATTATTTCAAACGAATTTGTTATCCTATGTGCGAATAAAGATGCCATAACTGACTATGGGACAGACTATGACTTTTAGTTGCCGTATTACCATATTAATTTATGCAAAATTTCAGTACTGCGGGTTTTTCAAAATACTGGTAGTGCCAAGCTACTATTTAAGTTGTACGGCAGTTACCAGAACGAGCAAAGAAATTTTAACGAATTTTATCATACACATTGCCCCTACTAATATATTCGTTTGTATGAAATTTCAATACCATAACTTTCTGAAGTATAGCCAAATCAATACCATAGTTTCTGAAGTATAGCCAAATAACTTTTGAAGTTGTATGGCAGTTACCAGAAGGAGCCAAGTAATTTCATCGACTTTTATGGGACATATTGGCCCTACTAATATATTCGTTTGTGTGAAATTTCAATACCATAGCTTATATAGTTTCTGAGATATAGCCAAATAACTTTTGGAGTTGTGTGGCAGGTACCAGAAGGAGCCAAGTAATTTCAACGACTTTTATGGGACATATTGGCCCTACTAATATATTCGTTTGTGTGAAATTTCAATACCATGGCTTATATAGTTTCTGAGATATAGCCAAATAACTTTTGGAGTTGTATGGCAGGTACCAGAAGGAGCCAAGTAATTTCAACGACTTTTGTGAGACACATTGGCCCTACTAACGTATTCGTTTGGGTTAATTTTTATTTGCTTCGCATCATGTTTAAAAGAATCTGGAGTCGCCCTAAAATTAAAATAAACAAATATTTAATTATCAAATGTGTAAGTATAACAAAGTGAGAGTAATAATCTCATATTTATTAAAAAAAAATGGAAAGTTTTTGATCTAAACACAAAATTAGCGTGATATATCGACAACAGAATACTAGAAACATTATTCTTATTTGAAATTTTTTTTCAAATTAAATTTAGTTCAAAAAATTTGAAATTTTATTTCAAATTTAAAAAACAATTGAATTTCAAACAACAAACGAATTTTAAACGCACACATTAGAACTGTACATGCATATTATTGTCTTATGTTAGTGAAAAACACAAAAACATGAAGGTTTATACATATGTATATTTACATAAAAGGAACTTTTCAAATGGGATATTTTTATAAACTTTACACATTACAAGTTCTCTATTAGGATTTTTCATCCCAATTTCTTCAAATTTGTTGTTGCTTGTGGTTTTCGTCAAGGTACTATTATTATCAATTATTATTTTTGCTTTACTGAATGATGCAAATGTTGGATAAAGCAACTTTAATTTATCTTTTGTTGATGATACAAAATCATTTACTTATTGAGAAAAATAATCTTAAACTTTCTTTGCAAAAATACATATGTATATTAAAAATTTTCTATTTGGTGCGGTAATGCATTATTTGAATAAATGTTTTAATAATAATAGTCTATAAATTCCATTATTTCAAACGAATTTGTTATCCTATGTGCGAATAAAGATGCCATAACTGACTATGGGACAGACTATGACTTTTAGTTGCCGTATTACCATATTAATTTATGCAAAATTTCAGTACTGCGGGTTTTTCAAAATACTGGTAGTGCCAAGCTACTATTTAAGTTGTACGGCAGTTACCAGAACGAGCAAAGAAATTTTAACGAATTTTATCATACACATTGCCCCTACTAATATATTCGTTTGTATGAAATTTCAATACCATAACTTTTATAGTTTCTGAAGTATAGCCAAATAACTTTTGAAGTTGTATGGCAGTTACCAGAAGGAGCCAAGTAATTTCATCGACTTTTATGGGACATATTGGCCCTACTAATATATTCGTTTGTGTGAAATTTCAATACCATAGCTTATATAGTTTCTGAGATATAGCCAAATAACTTTTGGAGTTGTATGGCAGGTACCAGAAGGAGCCAAGTAATTTCAACGACTTTTATGGGACATATTGGCCCTACCAATATATTCGTTTGTGTGAAATTTCAATACCATGGCTTATATAGTTTCTGAGATATAGCCAAATAACTTTTGGAGTTGTATGGCAGGTACCAGAAGGAGCCAAGTAATTTCAACGACTTTTGTGAGACACATTGGCCCTACTAACGTATTCGTTTGTGTGAAATTTCAATACCATAACTTTTATAGTTTCTCAGATATAGCCAAATAAATTTTGAAGTTGTATGGCAGCTACCCGAACCGGTACCCCGATCATGTCCAATTTAAATAGGGTTCTGGCACTTACTACAATAAATCATTTGTGAAAATTTGGTGAACTTAGCTCAATTAGTTTTTGAGTTATCGTTGGGACGGACGGACGGACGGACGGACAGACAAAGCTAAATCAACTCAGAATTCGACGCTGATCAAAAACATACACTTGAGTCTATATCTAATACCGTTATTTCTTAGCGTTACAAACGGTAAGGCAAATTTAGTATACCCTTCGAACATACGTTCGTACGGGTATAAAAAGATACCAAACGGGCTATTACCAAAGATTTAAAATTTAAGATATCAGTATTTAAAAACTTCAAAAGCGAAATGTATACGAAAAGGTACTCGTATCACAAAAATAATTTGTAACTTTTTTTGTGAATAGATGTATATAACGATTATGTCCCTTTTATGCTCTTTCTTAATTTTAAAAGTAAAAAAAAAAAAAATCTGATGCCCGCAGATCAGTTTTCGAGCCCTGATCTTTCCAAAAAATTTATATCTTCATTGTTTTAATACAAGAAATTCAAATATTAAATTTCAATGAAATCGGTTGATAATTTTCTTCAAAATGGTGAAAAATGTAAAATCGGCCTGCAAATCAGTTTTCGAGCCCTTATCTTTCCAAAAAAATTATGTGTTCATTGCTTTAATATGAGGAATTCATATATTAAATTTCAATGAAATCGGTTGATTATTTCTCTTTATATACACAAAAATGTATATTTGGCCCGTAGTAAACGTCCAGTTGCTGATGCCTGATTAATTCCAAAAGCTAGGAATTTTCGCGGACGGTCGAGCTTATATATAAAAAATTGGTTGAATATTTTCTTCAAAATGTTCAAAAATGTAAAACAGGCCCGCTAAAAAGTTCAGTTCCCGAAGCCTGATATATACCAAAAGTATAAAAAATTGATCAATCCGTGCCATGGTGGAAATAAACTTACATACAAAATTTCATCAAAATCGGTTAAGCCGAACTTGAGATACACGCGTCACCACACAGATCGACAGACCGACAGGTTGCTAAAAATAGTTTATTTACACTTCCCTACTATGAACAAGTACGTTCCCACCGAAAACTCGATATGCAAAATTTGTTGTCATCACATAACCTACCTATTGTTTACACAATACGGTCGGTAATAAAGTAACTATGCTGATGTTAGTAAATAAAAAAATAAAGTACTGCGCTGATCAGTATGTCAAGTTCGGCTGAACTGATTTTGATGAGAATTTAGCTATGGCACGAATACATCAACTTTCAGAAAATGTCAAACTGGCGCTATTTACGAACCGATTTTATTTTTCTGGAAATTTTTAAGAAATTATTCAATAGATTAACTTCAAATTTTACATGCAAAATCCGTTTGACAGCACAAAATCACCTAACTTTTGGAAAAAATCAAGTGACAGCAACTAAATTTTCGCTACAGATGACATTTGCATATGTAATGTATTTACCTAAATATTTTAAATATTAAAATTAAATATCATAAATTAAGGATGTTAAAACAATGAATATATATATGGGAATATCACGGTTTGGAACTTATTGTGAATATCAAGAGGACATTTTTATTATTCTCAAGACACTAAGTGACGGACTTTGGTTCTTTTTGATATTTGAGATCTGTTTGATAACTAATGTTGGAGTAATTTCGATGTCATAAATTGAGCTTATTCTGAAAATTGAATCACAAAATGATAGCGATTATCATAATTATTATTGGAAAAACAAGTTATTCACAAAAACGATTCATGCCTATTATAACAGTTTTTAAAACTTTAACGTTAAAATATCACTATTACTTAGTGATTCCACACTACCCTACACGATTATATGCTGATAACACGATTATATGCTGATAGCATTAAATTTTTTTATATTGTTCCTTATGTACATATCTTTTTTTAAAATCATGATTTAAACTACGAACAAAAATACCAAACAAAAATGAATTTGAAAAATTTGTCTAAAGTAAATTTAATAACTCTAAGAGTATTTTTCTTTAATCACATAACTTTTTTAAAAACGTATGTAAATGATATCGGAGAAAATTTTGTGAATTAATAATAATTCAGTACCAACTTATAACTACTACAAAAATAATAGTATGTTCGACAAACAAAACAGTGAAATTGGTTGTTGGTTACATTTTTTTTGAATAAATCCTTCAAAAAAGTAAGATAACAGTAGTAAATAATTTTTCTCTAAATTCTATAATTGTATTTCAATAAAAATCTGAAAATTAATATTTTTTATCAAAATAATCAGTATTAAAAATGTCAACTGCTTTTCAGAATGGCTATTTAGATCAAAAATAAGGAATGTTGGATAACTATAGCACTTAAAATTAATAAAAATCAAAAACAGAACTAATTTTATCAGTTTATGCATTTTATTAAGGCCTTTTAACATTGAAATACAAATGTTTTTTTTACTATATCTTCAAGATCAAAATGCATGTCATTGGTTATTTAGTATATTGTTCAATTTTATTTGTATTGCATTTCATTTATACTTCATGTCTCGTTTTATACAATGCTGTTGTTTGTATTGTATGTTAACGTATATTCGCAAGGCAACTGATTCAATAAACTCTCATAATGTACAAAACGTCTTAATATTTTTGGGTATATGTGTATCCGAAGTTTCTTGTTCGGAGAAAAAAACTATTCATGTCTTTAATACACATATAACTTTCGGAAGGTTATATCGCTGAGCAGCTAAAAATTTTATGATGCAAAATAATTTTAAATGAGCCCCGTGTCAACCAATCAAATTGACCACATTTTAACCGACGCTCGGCACTGCTCCAGCGTTTTGGATGTGCGTACGTTCAGAGTGCAAATATCGCTGATATGCAGCGGAATTCAGAGCTCGAATATGCAATGTTAAAAAGCTGCATACTGCACCAACACGTCAATTTAACATTGACAGTTTACAATACGCAGAGGTAGCCGGGGCCTTTAAAGAGCGACTTTACCAGAAACTTGAATCCGAACCTCTTGTTTCTACGTCCGTTGATGACCAATGGAAACATTATGATGATGAATGTTCCAGAAAAACGGCGGAAAAAAACGAGGCTTACAGGAAGGCGCTGCAATGTAAAACTAGGGCAGCACAAGAGTAGTATAAGACAAAGAGACGAGAAGAAAAGAGGGTCCTTAGAAAAAAAAAGCGAGACCATTAAGCGGCTGCTGAATAGGGAGTACACCGGGAGCGAAGAATTAAGAAGAAGAACGAAGAGGTAATTCCACCTAGCCTTGAAGAAATCCAAAAATCCAAAAACTAAGGAACAATAAAGCAGCTGGTTCTGATGGCCTACCAGCGGAGCTGTTCAAGGCTGGAGGTGATATTCTGGTTGGGAGCATGCACCAGATTATAAACCGCATTTGGATGAAGGAATGTATGCCCGAGGAATGGAGTGTTAGCATCATACGGCCAATCCACAAAAAGGGTGACACCACGTCCTGCAACAACTATCTTGGAATATCGCTAATATATATTGGTTACAAGACCCTATCCAACATATTGCGCGAACGCCTAAACGCCACTTTGTGACATCGTGATAGGAAACTATCAATGTGGTTTTAGACCTGGGAAATCCACCACCGACCAGATCTCCGCACTTCGTCAAATCGTGGAAAAGACCCACGAATTCCAAATCGATACTCACCATCCTCTCGTCGATTTTAGATATGCCTATCCTTTGCGCAGCATTATAAAGAGCGATGGCAAAATTTGGCTTCCCGTGCAAACTTATCCGATTATCTCGGATGACGCTAGAAAATACCAGATGTGCGGTGGTAATCGGAAAAAATACATCGGAGGTTTTTTAAACGCGTACCGGTTTTCGACAAGGGGATGCGGTGTCATGCGACTTTTTCAATCTGGTGCTGGAATAAATAGTGCGTTGCGCGGGTGTAAACACTGAAGGTACTATTTTATTAAATCCGTTGGGCTTTGCTGATGACATCGACATCATCGCGCGCGTTGCGCAGATTGATGAAGAACCAAAAAAATTGAGTCTGAATGTGAACGAGTCCAAGACGAAGTATATGCTGTCAGCAAGCAAACCCGCCACTTTCCATCATATTGACCAAAACATAAAGGCTGACACATATGATTTTGAGATAGTTCATTTACCTGAGAGCCAATGTAAACTCTGCCAATGACATCGGTGTGGAGGTGCGACGCAGAATAGTTAGTTTGCGAAACCAGCTGAGTTCAAAACTGCTTTCCAGAAGCACTAAGCTACAACAGTATAAAACGCACGTTCTTCCGGTTTTACTTTATGGCTCACAAGTTGGGACATTGTCTACGACAAGTGAGCAGTGCCTTGTTGTTTTTGAGCGGAAAATTCTTCGTCGCATATTTGCATAAATAAGCGAGGGGTCTGAAGGTCGAGATATAACGCCAAACTCTACGAGCTGTACCAGAACATGGATGTAGTCAGCAAAATCAAAATCAAGAGGTTACATTGGCTGGGCCACGTTGCACGAATGTCCACGCAAGAGGAGTTTTCGAGTCCAGATCCGAGAGAACAAGACGTCGAGGCAGGCAGCACCTTCGTTGGAGAGATGAAACAACCCCGGATTTGGAAAAATTGGTATTTTTAACTGGAGGAGAGCCGCCCTGGACCTCGGTCGATGGAAAAAAATGTTGCTTCAGGCTCAAGACCTTTATAGTCTATAAGGCCTAATAAGCAAGTAAGTAAATTAAATATGTATATGCAGTGATTTTTTTAATAACTAAAAAAGAGAATTGGAATTCTTAGTGAACGATGAACGATTCATTTTTGAAGAAGTGAACTAAACAGCTAATTTCAGTGAAGTGGTTCATTCTTTAGGATTAGTTCGTTCACGAATGGCACCTGAATAAACGAAATATATGAAAATTTTCTTATTGTCTTGATGATATGGCAGTTTAAAACGGCATTTAAACACAGTGATACTGCATTGACAAACAAAACCAAAGAATATGTTTATATTTCAGGATACAAATTTTGATTTTTGACGTTGAAACTTGACGTATGTGACAGGTAGCTTTCAAAAAGTTCCTTATTAGGAGCCTATTGCCAATGTTTAGTAAACTGAAAAAATCTGAAAATAATAAAAATTATTATGGAAGATTAAAAACAGTTTTAAAAATTCTATAGCATTTACTAACTTCAATTAACATTATATATGTACATACACATAGGGTTTTGTGAACTATTGCAGAAATTCTGTGAAATAAAAATTTTTTAGTTATCGTTTGAATGATTCGTCAAATAAACAGATAGAGCTATATCAATTCAGGATTCGACATCAACTCAAAATATAGTAGATATAGAAATAAAAATAAATTTATTAAAAAAGAAAAATGTAAAGACGACCTGTGGAAAGTTTAAAAGTTTAGTTGCTGGGAACTGATTTACTAACTCAATTAGGTAAATTCTTGTATAAATAATTCAAAGTGGTTCAATCGAAATCGAGATACTAAAATGGACAGAAAAACTTAACATGGATTTTGGTGACGCCACATAATCTTGTTTATTGTATGTAATACCGTTTGTTAAAAAAGATATGTAATATTTTAGAGTAAATAAACATACGTACATATATAGCTTTAAGAAAAGGATAGTAAAATTTTATGATTTTTGGTTGGTATCTTATTAATTTTTTTTGTTTAATAATCTGTCTGTGACAAAAGAGGATAGTTCTATAAACAAGAATGCTTTTGCTATTAAATTTCTTGCATAACAAATTCTTACCTATTTGCCAAGGTTGACCAAGGCATATATGAATTCATTGAACTGCATAATATACCTCCGACATTTTCTTTTCCAAAAGAAGAAACGTTATCAATATCTACTGCAATAGAAAAACTTTTTTTAACAGTAGTTCTGTTATCAACTTCACTTTGTTGTTTTTTTTTTTGGTATATATAGTCTCCCAGGTTTATTTCCAATTCAGTTGTTTTTGAATTAATTTCCTTAAAGCTGTTTGAAGTTTTATTTTCACCCAAATGATTGCAGATACTTTTTTGACTTGTATTATCACAAATTTCATTGTTACTACTTTGGCCCATCTCAATTTTCTCGTAACTGTTAGATCTTGAAATGTTGTTCCACAAATAAATATGCTTTTTTTTATCTCTAAATGAAAATTTCCATAAACTAATCAATGATAAAAGTGCCATTAGTACAGAGACTATGAACAAACATAATACTAAAATATTTTTCCAAATAGATGAATATAGAAATTTACGAGAAACAATTAGTGTTATATGCGCTTCAGCCCAACCAGCTTTGTTTTCAGCAACACATTTGTAAATTCCAGCATCTCGTTGTTCAACAATGGAAATGAATAATCTTGATATGCTTTTTACCAAACTTATCCGAAAAGTTTTACGACCACGATTGATTGAAGTTAAAAAATCAGCAGATGAGCTATTGTTGTTGATTATTTCTAAAGTATTAAAATTTGTATAAGTGAGATTAGCAATTAAACGATCCTTCAAAGTCCAACGAATATTAGTTTCTCCATCATCTGCAAAAAAAAGTAAAATATCAATATAATGCCCAAATTAACAAAAAATCTGGAGCTTTAAGCATCATTATTTTTGTCCTTGAAATTAATTTTAAATTTTAGTTAATTAATTGCTCTTGAAATAAGTCTCAATTTTTTTTTTATATTATTATATGTTATATTATCTGACCATTGGTGCAGTGGTTATGGCACCGGCCCTTTAACCGAAGGGTCTCGGGTTCAAACCCCGGTCAGGTCACTATAAATATTATATTCAATATTATTATAACTTAATATACAATACTAATAAATATTATACAAGTAATTTCCAAATATTCGTAATATTCGATATTAAAAAAAAACTAAGAAAAATAAACAGTAAATATTAATAACCTCAAATAATTAATATAAATAAAACTACGGCAGGCTAGTCACCTACCTAGTTAAACTCTATGACACTATGAAACTAGTGCATGAGAAATCATGCACTAGTCCTATGCTCCTTCTAGGAGTGAATAAAGGAAAAAGAAAAATATGTTATATTATATTTCAAATATTTTTATAAGCATAACATTAAAGCTGGCTTTTATGGCCTTTTATGGGCATATAAAATTATATACTTTTAACTATATTCTATCCCAACAAACTCTGAAAATCAACCGTCAAGTAGATAAAAAGAGCAGTTGTCCACATTTATTTTGGTAGATATGTCTGCCACTTTCATAAATTGTTAGTTAGTTTTCTGCTTCATAACAAAACATCTACAAAGAAAGTATTTGCAAAATATTTTCTATTACCCCCAATTCCGATTTGATAATATAAAACTTCAAATCAAGAATATGTAAACCATTAGTACCACCTCACACAATCATTACAAGTGATGATAAAAATTAAATCTCTAAATTTAAAAACGAATATAGCATTCTTAAGGAACTAATAAGAAAAGATATTGTCTTAATTCAAAGAATGTGACATAAATATGTACACAAATTATTCAGATACTGATTTGATTATGTTATAACTTTAAAATTACGTTTTAAAAAAAAACTGTTATGGTAAAACAAGAAAGGCATAATATTGGAAAGTTAATAAAAATTAAAATAGAAAAAAATTAGCGAATTACAGTGAACCATAATATGTGGTTATTGGAATTTTATATTACTAACGTTTTATTTCAACAATGTCTTCATTAGGGGAATTTGTATTATTCTCACTTTTTCAAGGCATTTCACCTTTTTGGTGTCATAATGTAAAATTATGTGCATATGTATACTTAACTAGTAAGCAGTGCGAATATACGAATAATTGAATAATATAATAATTACAAACAAAATTAAGTAGAAAATAGATTGGTTGTAAGACAAAATAAGTAGTGGTTGAAAGACAAAAAACCCAAAGGCGTTTCTCGTTTTTCTTGTAGTAAAAATATTTCAGTTGTGAAAAGATATAAAATTTATATCTTATATTTAATTTATATCATATTTAATATGCATGTAAGCAAATCAACATGTTAACATTGGTATTGGTCTATACCTCAAAGTTATCGAAGACTTTATCAAACCGAAGTAACGTTAAATTAATTAAGTCACTCTTTTATAGAATATTATTGTTAAAATGTAAAATTTTTATCAGACTAGGGTAACCCAATCAGTACTTCTCAAAAATTAGTTTGAAACATGGCGGAATTTCTATTTTAGGAATTTTCATCATCACTAGAAGCCCCTGCCTTAACATACATATTACGTGGTATAAATACGTGTTTTGAATGTGTGGAATTCATTTAATGAAGGAAGGAAAATTAAAAATTTGATAATGTAAACTTATACACAATTCGTTCTATATAAAATTAACATGTTAACTGATTTGTTATAATATCGCACTTTTGAAGCATTATATTTATTTACATACAAAAGTGTAATAGGATACGGTGACAGATATTACCGTTAGGAAATAACAGGATACGTGTTATTTCCTAACAATGTATGTAGGTAATGCATACATTCTGCGATACGCAGAAAGGGTTCTGTTCGTGTAGCTGTGAGAAATTTCTTGACTTCCAAAACGCAGTGAAATGGTAAAATTAGCATTTGTCTTGTTATAAAATGTATATCAAAAGATCTTGACATTATACACCATTTTAAAATGTATCGAATACGCAGTCGGAACGCAAAATAAAAGCAATGTGTACTAGTCATGGGTAATAACGTTCATTTCAGTTATTCGTTCTGAACGAACTTTTTTTTTCACTGACCGATTATAAAATCTCGTTCAATCGTTAATTTCGTTAACTTCCCTTCTGTATATATAATTGCATGTTTTTTGGTTATAGTTATATGACTATTCGTAGTTATAGTAAATTTTGAAGAAAAAAATATATAATGGGTTTTGTAAATTAGTAATAAGTTTTGAACCACAAAATGTCTCCACGTACATAAACCAAAAAGTTTAAAACGTAGAGAAAAATTTAAAAGTTTTACTTAAAAATTTGTTATATTATAAGTAATTTCTTAAATTTGAAAAAATACAAATTTTAAACCATTTGAGTTTAAATTTAATATTCCTCACAAGAAATTTATAGAATAAAAATATTTGTAATTATCTTTGTTATTAATCCTCGAAAAAAACTGAAATGCTGTCCTAATTTTTTTAAACTTTTGTTTAATTTAATTAAATCTTTTATTTTAATCCCTACTGAGTTATGTTTACTTATAATAATTAATTTTTTTTTAATTTTTTCTTTTATTAAAAATATTTAGGTAAAAAAGCGATCATAATTATTATCCTTTTTTAAATATTTTATGAATAAATATAAGACATAATTATGGTATTTTTTGAACACATGTGGACGTTTTTGTACTAAATGTTAGAAATTTTGAGTTTTTGAAATCAGTCGGGTTAATCTTTTGTCTTTTTTCCAGCATATTTTCTTCTTGGTTTTCTATTTAATATAAGTAGTTTTTATTATTTTTAATTTGTTTTTGAAAATACATAATAAAATTGAAGTTGTTTTTTTTGTTTATAATCATATTCCTTAAAACATTCATTTAGGATATTATTTCAGAAAAATATTTAATAAGTTTTTAAATTATTTCTTAAAACAACAAAGGAATTCAAGAAAGCACAAAGGCATGAACAGCAAATAATTAAAATTAAATTATTATTTTAGGAACAAAAATTTATTACAAACAAATAAAAAAGAAGCAATGTACATATAATGTGTACATATGTATATGCATGTTTAAAGTTTTTTTGACGTCTCATTGATATTATTCCAAATAATCATGGGCAATATTATTCATTTCAGCGATTCGTTCTGAACAAACTACTTTTTTTTACTGATCGATTATAAAATCTCGTTCGATCGTTCATTTCGTTCACTTTACTTCTGTATATTTAATTGCATGTTTTTTGGTAATGGAAAATTTTAAAGATAAGAATATGTAATGGCTTTTGTAAATAAGTAATAAGTTTTGAACCACAAAATGTCTCCACGTACATAAACCAAAAAGTTTAAAACGTAGGGAAATATTTAAAACCTTTACTTAAAAAACTGTTAAATTATAAGTAATTTCTTAAATTTGAAATCAAAATTTTAAACCATTTGAGTTTAAATTTTTTATTCCTCACAAGAAATTTATAGAATAAAAATATTTGCAATTATCTTTGTTTTTAATCATCGAAAAAAACTGAAATCCTATCCTAATTTTTTTAAACTTTTGTTTAATTTACTTTAATCTTTTATTTTAATCCCTACTGAGTTATGTTTACTTATAATGACTAATTATACCCGTACGAACATATGTTCGAAGGGTATACTAAATTTGCCTTACCGTTTGTAACGCTAAGAAATAACGGTGCTAGATATGGACTCAAGTGTATGTTTTTGATCAGCGTCAAATTCTGAGTTGATTTAGCTTTGTCTGTCCGTCCGTCCGACCGTCCGTCCGTCCGTCCGAACGATAACTCAAAAACTAATTGAGCTAAGTTCACCAAATTTTCACAAATGATTTATTGTAGTAAGTGTGAGAACCCTATTTAAATTGGACATGATCGGGGTACCGGTTCGGGTAGCTGCCACACAATTTCAAGATTTATTTGGCTATATCTCAGAAACTATAAAAGTTATGGTATTGAAATTTCACACAAATGAATATATTAGTAGGGCCAATGTGTCACATAAAAGTCGTTGAAATTACTTGGCTCCTTCTGGTACCTGCCATACAACTTCAAAAGTTATTTGGCTATATCTCAGAAACTATAAAAGCTGTGATATTGAGATTTCACACAAGTGAATATATTAGTAGGGCCGATGTGTCTCGTAAAAGTCGTTGAAATTACTTGGCTCCTTCTGGTACCTGCCATACAACTTCCAAAATTATTTGTCTATATTTCAGAAACTATTAAAGCTATGATATTGAAATTTCACACAAACAAATATATTAGTAGGGCTAATGTGTCACATAAAAGTCGTTGAAATTACTTGGCTCCTTCTGGTACCTGCCATACAACTTCAAAAGTTATTTGGCTATATCTCAGAAACTATAAAAGCTGTGATATTGAGATTTCACACAAGTGAATATATTAGTAGGGCCGATGTGCTTGATAAATTCGCTAAAATTTCTTGGCCCTTTCTGGTAGCTGCCATACAACATCAATAGTAGTTTGGCACAACCAGTATTTTGTATAACACATAGTACTGAAATTTTGCATAAATTAATATGGTAATACGGCAACTTAAAGTCATAGTCTGCCCCATAGTTAGTTATGGCACATTAGTTATTCGCAAATAGGATAACAAATTCGTACGGGTATCACAGAGTTGACAAGGTCAACTCTATTTTTTTTCTCGTTTTTTTTTAGTTTTTTCTTTTATTAAAAATATTTAGGTAAAAAGCGATCATAGTTATTATCCTCTTTTAAATATTTTATGGATAAATATAAGACATATAGTAGCCCAGTTCAAAGCCTCCTTTTTACCGACCGTATTGTGTAAACAATAGGTAATTATGTGATGGAACGTA